TAATTTAGCAGAAGTTCCTAATAGTTAATTTTTTTATCATTTGAAGAGGTGATTAAAAAGAGTTTTTTGAACCTCCCGAAAGGAGGAAAAATTTATGGCTCAGTGTAAGCAAATGGACATGAGTAGCTTTGATGCTTCTGCAACTGACACATTTGATAACACATCTATCATTTTATTGATAACCTTCTACATGATCCTATAGATAAAGAAGCAATTAACTTACAGATTCAGACTTCCTCCTGTGACAGGAATGACCCTTTGCCTTGACAGCTTGGGCTTTCTGAACCTGTTTGCCATTCTGCCTTAACACAAAATACATCTAAGCCTCTCTTCTGAGGCAAATATTTAGGTAACTTCTACACAGGAGTAACCAAAATGCTTTCTGGTTAAATCCTCTCCATTACCAGAAGATTGTTTGGCACAGATGATACACAAAGAGGATAGCTCTTGCTCTTCAATTCAACAGCTCTAATGCCAAAAGACTAGAGTTTCAAGCTTGTATTGCCCATTTCAATGCTCCTATACTAACAGGTGCATTGCCAAAGTGCTCACAAAATAGAAGGAGAAAATAAAGGTATTTCACCCCCTCCCAATAATGGATACAGTTAGTATGAAGCCATTTTGCTTGGCAGTTATAAAATGGTAATTACAAGTGTAGAAAAAGATTAGGCTTACGCAAAGAAAGTGAAGAAATCCCATCCGGACTTCAAAATGTTTCTTTTGAAAGGCACACACCAAGAACAAGACAGTCAAGAGGAGATCACACAGCTAATTATTTGGAAAAATTAATTTCACAGTATTCTAATTTTTATTTTTGAAAATTTGATCAACTCTTAGGGAAATACAGAAAGTACACGTATGGGGGAAGTGAATGCAAAGGTAGACCAGCTTACTGCTTAGACCACTAGCAGTACACCAACTATCATCAGGGGGAAAAAAGTCTTATTTAACTTCCCCTCTATTAGCAGCTACCTTCTCCTTGGAAAGGTCTTAAGGTTTTATGGTCATAAAAATTTAATAAAGAGCAACTGTGTAAAAAAAATAAATAATTAATACTAAATAGACCATCAGCCAGGACCATCATGGTCTATTAATATAAACTTACATTGTTGGTTTCTAGACAGATTTTTTTCTGTATGTCTATTTTAAAACTCAGTTAAAAATTATTTGCACTGTGCAAGTTAAGTCTTCTAGAAGACACAAGAAAAATTTAGCACAGCATTGGCACAGCATAATGGTCCCTCCTGACAGAAATTAGATGGGAAAAATAGTTACTGAAAAAATGAACACTGAAATTCATTTAACAAGTATATTTTCAAAGTTGTCGGCAATTAAGACTATGAAAATGTTCTCTAGTATTATTTCTATATTACCAGATGAAGATAAAATAAATAATTTTGAAGACTGATTGTTACTGTTGATGCACAGTGACAGCGACTCAGTATTTTACAGTGAAGAACAATGCTCCATCAGTCCAGATTTTATACAGTAGCAGGGAAATATGTAACAATCAGGTAATCTACAAATCTGAAACACCGCTTCAAGTCTGGATTTTTTTTTTTTTTGGTTGGTTGGTTTGTTTCTTTTAATTGAAGAAGTTGTGGTCAAACTAGAATAATCTTTGTCTGATGTTTAATAAAACAAAACATTAGTTTTACAGGATTGAGGTTGATAAAACTATGTCAAAAGGTTTTTGGAAGGGCTCTTTACAAATGTGTTCCTAACACTATAGCTATGCAAGCTGATTTACCACAACTTTGCCCCCTCTTCAGTGGTACAGAAGACACTCATTTTAGAGGGTTTGCTTTTGGCTTGACCTCTTCTGAGGTTAATATATAATATTGATAAAAAAATTACCACTTAACCATAGACTAGCGATTTTCCTCAGTGCTTAACTCCAATCCAAAAACTTTAAAGGAAGTTCAGTTTAGCCTAATGTCCAAATATTAACTACTCTGGCCACTCTACAAATCTTGTTTCAGTGTCTGCAGAAGAAATTCCCTTGAAAACCTGATTTTACATGAAATCAGGATCTCTCCCCTTGGAGATGGCCAAAAGGCGATTGGACATGGCCCTGCTTGAGCAGGGAGGTTGGACCAGATGAATCTCCAGAGCTGGTTTCCAACCTCAGCCATTCTGGAATCCTGTGAATTGCAATGTAACAACTACCCTGTACTTGCAGGATCCTACAGGTTATCTTTTGTTACAGTGAACCTCTGTTTTAACTCTTACAAAGAAAGAGCAAGACAGGCATAGCTTTCAACTTGTTCATCTAACTTGTATCTGAACTTCAGGGACTCAATCAATCAATCCTTCTAAAGCAAATCTAGGTTCTCTATGCACTCAACATAGTGCATGTCAGCACAGCCCTTGTCTCAGAAGACCCAAGACAAATGCTGCCTTCTTGAGTTAGACAGTCAATCATGAATGCTTATTTTTGCTATCAGTTCTGCATTAACCCTCCAGTTTCTGAACTCTTTGCTATCTAGAGGAATGGGCAGAGGCAATCTTTGAGGTTCTCTGCATGCTGGGAGCTTTCTGAAAGGTTTTAGGTTTCTTTGCATTAATACAGCACATGTAGGAACATTTGCCTTACTTTCAGCAAGCTCACAGTCCTACCAGATGGGAGTATATTCAGGAAATATTAAACAGGAACCATATAAAACAAAATTAAAACACAAATAAGCATTTTAACCAATTCTATATTGCTAGTATTTAAAATGTAAGCTGAGTAGAAATGAGTTAATCTTGAGCGCTGAAATTATATAAAACCTACATTTAGCAACTATTTTCACACTCGCAGTGCACAATTCTCAGTCACAGTCAACGCAGCAGAATTCAGTAAACCACTCCTGTTTAATAGGATGTCATTTATCTGCAAATATACTTTACAATAACGGATTTTCAACTACTGCAAATTGATTTTATTTCTTTCCTTCCAGATGTCACTGTGCCACAGAGAATAACTCCTTTGAAATTAATAATAATGAAGATGCATTGCATCTGACAGCCCTAACAACATGTTTACTAGAACATTCTACCCTTAAACAGATACAGAATCAGAAGAGAATACTTTTTCAGATTCCACTGTTTCAGCACACAGTTCTGTATAAATAGAATTATCCTACTTAAAAGTTATTTCCATTTTGGTATTATTACTATTTGATAGTTTTATTTCGGGAAGCTATGACATACTGCAAATTATTGCCCCAAACAATAAAAGTTTATCCTTTTGTATCTACTTTAATCAAAATAATAGTCTCCTGTTTCCAGTAGGTAATTCTGGCAATTAATTATCCTAACTTACCCTAAAAGGACAACCCTAAGGTGTCACTCACAAAGAGAAACAATACTAAAAATATTCTTTCAAACTGCTACTGCATAACACAGTGAGAGATTTATTCATGTTTGTATTTTACATATTTTGTTACCAGAAACCACAGAACAACAGGAGTTTTGCCAGTGGTGTGGGTCATTATTTCTTTCCTATAATACGAGTTTCAGTTAAGAAATTCTCAAAACATGCTCACCCTCCTAACTCAAATGCTGCCATCACATTCCACACTGAAACTTCATTTACTGAGTTTCACTTTTATTCCAGCTCTCTCCCGTGCAATTTGCTTGCATAAGGAAAACACCTACTTATCTAGAAGGTGTATCTTATTTATGATTGCATGTGCAGAGAATGTTTTGGAAAAGTGTATGCTCCAACGTTAAAGCAAACTGTAACTAGAAGCCCAAACCTTTTGTTTCAGGAAGCAATATATATGCAGGGTTACTTCAGCTTGACTAATATATTAACACTGAAAATGAAACAAAAAACTGATCATCAAAACTGCATGCAGCGCTGCCGTTTCCTTTCCTCTTTCCAGTCCGAAAGTTCTAACAAAATATTCTCCCTTTTTTTAGCACAAACAGGGCAACAAACAGCAACTTACCCATTTATAGCTTCAACACCAAGTACAGTTATGCAAGGTGACCTCTAACTATCTGCTTTGTAGCAGCACCCTCACAAAAGAAAAGCAAGGTATACAGCGCAAAACAGCCCTAAGATGTTACCCCTGCTGACCCATAACTACCCTCACACTTGAGCAGCACAATAAAGAGAAAAATGACCTTCAGGAATGTACAATTTAAAATGTTAAAATGGCAACTGACAAGTCATTTAGTGACAGAACAAACTTAAGATAACACAAACCTTCCTTGCAAGCAAGAGCCATGAAACAGATAAAGGTGAAATGGTGCAGCCAACTCTTGACATCTGAAACCTATTTCAAACTGCTAATAATACAGTCTATTCTTCAAAATTTACATTGACATTTACTTTTGCTCACCACATTTACCTCCTGCTTGTGAGATTAGCAACATGCACGTTACATACAAATAGCTCTTGGGTCCAGCTCTGAAGTCCTGTGCTGTTTTTAACTACCACTGGAGCATGTGATTAGACAGAAGCTATGATCAGACCAGAAAATTAAGCATACTGCAATTATGTTTAGAATTGTGCACGTTGGGTTGCTTATAGTGTGTGAAAACACTACCACTCTTACTCCTTTTCTTTACCCATTACTTAGAAACTAGTTGTCTTCAGTTTCCTTTTTGGGAAACCATTTTCCATATATAGTAAGGAGAATGGAATTCAGAGGTGCCCAGCAACCCGTTCATAGAACTTATCTCAGCAGGGACTTTCATATGTCATTAGAGAGAAAACAAGTGGTAGTAACCAGTGAGTCATTTTATCTTACAATTCTTTTCTTATACAGGTACAATTAACACTGCATGGACTCTCCTGTAATCAGAACTACTACACCAGGAATTGGTGACCACTCAAAGCCAGCCAGCCAGCCAGCCAGCCTTCTCTCTCAAGGTCCAAACAGTTTGCATTAGCACTTACTGATATGCATCCTGTGTGAGCTCCAACTATTAATAACTATTCACTTTAAGATTAAAAAAAAATGGCACTTTGCTGTAGTGACCATTAGTTCGTGTGCATACTTTACCTGTACATCATTGGTGTTCATTCTTGTTCCGTCCTTCCCAACAAAGATGTCATCGATGTCAACCAGAACATACCTATCCAAGGACAGTCTGAGCCTCTTGCCAGACAGGAAAGAGACAGCATCTATGAAAATCAGCCTGTGCAGCCAAAAATTCAAGTTATTGCCAAAAAGGACTCGCTGAATCCCATCGTGGAGCCCCAGATCATGAATTACCGTGGCATAGAGAGCACTTATAGCAGCAGGTGGTGAAAGGTTTTCTGCTGTCTTTACTTTAGCAAATATCACTGGTTGATAAGTCGTATGATTAACATGGAAAACTGCCCAGTCATTTCCAAGCAAGGGACCTTTCTCAAGCTTAGAAGATTTAGTCACATGAAGCAGTGGGGAATGAGGGTTAATGCAACAGTCCTTTATACCCAGATTGCTGTGGACATGGAAAGGAAAGCCCTTCAACTGAGAGCTCTGCAAGCTGTTCTCATTACCTTTGTGAAATCCAATAACACCTACACCATACTCTATACAGTACTTATCTAGAAGGCCTCTGTTCCAGGAGTCCATGTTCACATACTTTAGAATATTTTCATATACTATGAGAGCATATTTGCCTTTATTTTTGTCTATAAGCACTGGGAGGTCACCTTTCCCAGATGCAATCTCAGTGTGAAACTGAAATCTACTAGATTCTAAAATGGTTATTATATCTTGGCCTAGTGCTGAATACTGACTTTCCACAAACACCAGCACTACAAGATCTGTCCTCAGGGGGTCAACGGACTTCATGGTCTTCATCTCCATCAGCTTGTACTGCAACAGTTGAGGATCACCACATTCCACTTCTGAAGAGATTTCAGGAAGTTCATTTTCCTGTTTGTAGCCATTATACAAGTAATATGCAGAAATAACTATGCTCACCATACAAAAAGTGGCCAGCAAAATAACTGTCCTTTGAAAATGTCTGTGAAGTTTCAGGATAAAACTCATGTTGTTTACTTGCCTTAGATTGTTCTTGACAGCAGCATTAAAAACAAACACAGATTCTCGACAACTTGTTTCAGTCCTCTGAGGTATTTATGTAACCATTGCAGCACACACCTCTATCTTCCACAAAACTTTACAGAAGGTATAGTCTAGAAGAAAAGAAAATCAGAGATTTAATTAAGGCATCCCACCTGTTGGAAGTATCATCACACTTAGAGTAACAGTGAGCAAAGAAATCACTGCCAGGCAGAGGTTTAGAAACAAACAGTTCAAGACTTCAATAATTCCTTTTTTAAATTTTTCATTAGTAGCATTATTTCTTCCTGCTCCATTAGCTGCCACGCTTGCTTGAATGTCTCTAAATTTCACAGGCTCCTTACCCCAGAAGATCAAGTAAAAGAGGGTAGGCATAGGAAGCACTGAAAAACAAGATACGGCAGCAAAGAACTCCCTGCTTTTTGATTTTTTCTTTTTATTTTTCCCAAGGATAAAAGTAAACTCCCAATAGACAATTCATGACAACCTAAACACTGAAGAAAATTTAAAATCTTCCTCTTTCCACCCCAAACAGCTGGGGGAACATCAGTCTACATGACTAAACAAATTTTCTTACATTACTTTTTGAAGAACCAAGAAGTGCTCAAAACACGTATGTTTCACCTGTTGTGTACCTATCGGTATGTACAGCTACATACTGGTAGAACCTGTATTATGTGTATTATAGGAGTATTTTTAAAACAAAAACTACACTTCCCCCCACCCCGCAACATTAAAAGTAAACAAATAACATTTCACTGGACTGTGTACTGTTTTGCAGATAGTGCAAATTATTTCTTTATTAAAAAAAGCAGTAAAATAATCCAGCTTGTAAATTTAAGAAAAGAGAGTAATAAATCAAAAGCTAACTTAAGACGCAGATCATCTAATGATATACTTAGGCTTTACCTTGTACCTAAGGAAGGCAGCCTTTTTTCAAGCAAACAGTACAATTGCTGTCAAAAGTTTCTAGTAAAACAACTGAACGATGTGACAAATATCAAATAATTAAGTAATATAAGTTAGAAAGGAAGATTAAAAATACATTTTGAAAACTACAAAGAGTATGAAAAACACTTGAGTGTATAAAGATTTAGAACATGCTAATGTAACTTCAAATGTAGTACACAACCATTTGTTAATTGGACAAGGATAAGCTCTTTTTGCAATGTTAACAGGACCATTTCCCAGCTAAGCACTTAATGCTTCCATGCTCAACTGTTTGGATGTTTGGTTTGGTAGGTTTCTTTTTTTTGTTTGTTTTCTGTTGTTGTTGTTTTGGTTTGGGGTAATTTTTTTGTGGTTATTTTTTTTTTGTTTTAGTAATGAAGAAGGACTTAAAAGGTCAATACCAAAAAGTTCCAGTATCCAGTAACCAGTATCAAATAGTCTGTACTGATTGACAGAAGATTAAATTTTCTTGTGAGATCATGGCTAACAAATGGTATCTACTCAAGCTCTATCCAATGTTTTGTACTTTCTAAGGTTTACTGGGGGATGTTAGAAATGTTGATTCCTAAAATGGCTGACAACCTTCAGTACTGAATCAGGGAGCAGATGATAACAGAAGAAATAAAGTCAGCTTCTGATCCAAAATAAACTACAGTATCTAAAAAGATTAATTACATAGTAATAAGAGGCGGGGAGAAGGGAAAGGCAGAGGACAAAACCAAACAACATGTCAGGTACTTGAGCCTTTTAACCACTTGACAAAGGCTCCTCATCCTACAATATAAGGAAGGTGGTCTTTCAATCAAGGTTTTAAAGTTAAAAATGTTATGCACATAACAGCACCTATGTAACTTCCACAACTTTAACTAAGTCCCAAACACTGATCCTCCCAGTGCCATAATGAGCACAAAGTAAAAACACAAGAGTAGGAAAAATAGATAAGGGGAAAAGGGAGAAACTACACAGCACTCCAGTTATCAAACCAGCAAATTTAAGCACCAAGAGTAAATATACATAAGCTGTCTCATTCATAATTAAGGTTCCCTTCAAACCTGCATCTCGCCAGACAACCCTGCTTTCTGGATATGTTAGAATAGAATCATAGAATAGTTAGGGTTGGAAAGGACCTTAAGATCATCTAGTTCCAACCCCCCTGCCATGGGCTGGGACACCTCACACTAAACCATGTCACCCAAGGCTGTGTCCAAACGGGCCTTGAACACCGCCAGGGATGGAGCATTCACAGCTTCCCTGGGCAACCCATTCCAGTGCCTCACCACCCTTACAGTAAAGAACTTCTTCCTTATATCCAATCTAAAGGTTCTACTCTCTTCACCTCAGATAGGAATGTATTAACCCTTTCTGTTCTTGGTAGACTTGCAACCAGCCTTGAACCGTTCCTGCAGCTGCACACAAGTTTTAGAAAGGAGTTTCAGGAGTTTTGCCTTGCACCCAGGCAGAGAGGGTCATTAATCAGTGTTAGACAAAAAAAAAACAAAAAAAACAGCAAAACCCAAACCAAAAATCCACAAAAAAACCCAACCAAACAAAAACCCCCAAAAAGACAACCAAGCAAAAAAGAAAACAAAACAAAACCCATAAAAACAAACAAAAAACCCTTCAAAAAACAAACACACAACACATACTAACAGTTTCTCAGTTTCCTAGAGGCATGGATCTGAAAAGAACATACAAAGACTGAACAACAATCTGAAAATACCTTTAGAAGAACTCAAAAAACCTTTTTAAGTATGGAGGTGTCTGGTCTTGATCACACTACCTTCAAGAATAATACCAGTTTAGATAGCAGAAGAGAGATACCTAACACTGTAAGAAGCCAGGTGAAAAGGAAGGAGCTCCATCCTGAACGAGTAACACCAAAGAGATGTTTCCAGACAAATGATTTTACGTTACACATACAAAGGCTTCTCTTCATTTTGTATTTCCAATTCAGCTGTCTGAATGCCAAGAAACTCCCAATTTGAGTGGCTAAAATACTTACTGCATTCTGTAGACAAGCCGTACATATGCCTGCTTATCTTCAGTAACAGCAGACCTGGCTTGCTTACCTCACAGAGCTCAGGGCTGGTTCACCCAAGAGATGTGAGTCTGCAAAGCAGAATGCCTGCTGACAGAAGTATTACTTCTTTGAATGACACAAAGTCAACCACCACATGACCAACAAGCACAATGCTCATCTGCTTCTTTTAGCCTTAAGCTCCTCTAACACAGCTCCAAAACAGCCCTATTCTTAGGACTTTGGTGGTTTCTGTCATATTGAGAGGGAGTTCCCAGCAGCATGATCTAGACATTTCTTTCTTTACCAGCCTACACTTCTGACAGTCACTTGAACTTGAGAATCCTGCTTCCAGTAGGAAAAATTTACAGTGACCTAAGCTCATGACAGGGAAGGACTGATTAGACAGAATTGTTTGAATGAGTTATGACTGAAGGGGTGCAACCCCAGGGCTACTAAAGTCAGCAGCAGGAACACTTAAAACATTTGCAGCAAGGACACAGCTTCTAATGCGGCTCCATAGAGCAGAAGATCTGGAGCCAGCCCTGAAACCTGTATTTTCTTCTAGAAAGCCCCTGTCATTTTATCCCTGCCTCCTAGTTGCCGGTACCTCCTGGATCGACAGAGAGCAGCTGTAAATGGCTGGAAATGCCAAGACAGATGCGAGTTTGAGAAGCGAGGAATCCTCCAAGACCCAGCAGGATACAGCTAGACTTGGCGTCCTCCCCACTCAAGACAGGAAAGTAGAGGAACGGAACAGAGTAAGGCACACGTTTGAAATACATGCCATCTTGAACAATCTTGATGCTTATGTAGTTTTCACTTAAGAACTGTTTTGCATGGCAAGAGCTCAAAAGAACATAAAAAAAAATTAAAAATACAAAGAGAACGTGCATTTAAAAATACCAAAATAGTTTCAAAGCCTTGATGAAGTAGCTGCTGTTCCCCCAGGAAAGCAACACTTTACTCTTGAGCAAGAGTACTTGGCTAGGTATTCCACTAGTATCTTACAGCACTATGCTACAATAAGTCATGCATCAAACTTGACAGTGGAGTTTTCTGAGCTCCTACCATTTACAGTTTTCTTTAGTTTTTTGTTTCATTGCTACACATAAACAACCAAACTCTTGGCTTCTATAAATCACTTCAGCCAAATAACCCTAATGGCAATACTTACATGAGGTAACACTGGCTGGGGATATAGCCTATTAATAAGATACAGAAAGTGAACATGAAGAATTTGAAACTGTAATTCTTGATTTTTTGTATTTTCTGGCAGTACAGTTTATATGATAAACACCAAAGCAGCCAGCCTGGAAGCCAGTCCCTGGACTCAGACTCATGGGCAGCCGCTTACAGGGTCTGTGGGGTTGCCATGGCACTCGCAGAGCAAATACTGTGCCCTCCTTGGTACATTAGCTTGCAGTGAGACTTGCACAGCGCACACAGCCAAGGCTTTGTGTGACTGGCTTTTCTACGCAGCAGAAACATACTGTTTTCTGGACTCAGCAGTTGAAAAGAAACGTGGTTCTGACCATTCAGTATTATAACTGGGATTTAAGGTACTGCAGGCTAAAACCCCACCCTCAAATTAAGTCATTTTCAAGTTCACATCTTCATACAGTAATGAATACTTAAATAGGAAGCCAGGTACTCACATAAAAACAAACACATAAAACTGCTTACAATTAAAAAAAAATTACTAAAGCTGTATTATGAGTATCAAAAAGATTCTTAAAACTACAAGAAACATTCTTCAATTCAGTTGTTTTAAAAATTATCAAGATTAAAACAATGAGATGAGCTCAAATACCCACAAGCAAATGAGAAATTGCTCTCAAATCACATTTTCAAAGCCCAGTAAAAAATATCTGGTTTAGTCTTCCCTCAAGGCTGTGCAAGGGTAACTGTTTACCATGACCCTTGATTAGAAACAATAAAGTTGTATCATACTTACACACAGACATAAAAAATTGTGGTTTTGTTACACATGGCATAACAAAAATCCTTTACATGAAGAACTGCCAAAACCCAGAGCTAGCTCAGGATCAATTACTCATCAGTATTATTCAGCTATATTATATTTGTCTGGTTACACATGCCTGAACATATTTTTAATATCTTTCTCCTCTTCTACTAATCCCCATCATTATATTCTGGATCTGCTCTTCACTAAACTGGCCTCTACTACAGTGCTATTTACATATAGTAAATGAAGGATGAGTTTTAAATTAAGAAGAGACAAAATCCAGACATATTGTTGGCAAATCAATAACTCTCTGCTGATTAGAATGCTATTTAATTGCTTTAAACATAAAAGCCTGCTTTGGGGAGCCACTATGAAATATGACCTTAAAGGAAGTATTCTTAAGTCACTATATGAACGTTACTAAAATGAAAATCTTTGGATATACGGATGACTTGGTAGGAAGCAACAAAGTGCATTTGGAAACAACCAAACCTGGGATGGAGAGTAGTGGTTGGATTTTGAAATCAGTTATGAAAACATAAAACTGGTCTCTAAATACTGAGTACACCTGCTTACAATGTTATTTTACTGACTGATGTATTTAAGCAGTAATAGCTCAGAGAGGCAAATCCAGGCTGAGAATGAGAACTTATGACTGCATATGAAGATGACAATTTCAACTTGAAAAAGATTGCGATATGAGACATGAACTGTCTAGGGAAGCTGTTGAGACTGTTTAACATCAGATAACAAACCTTGTAATGCATGAATACTGAAGGGCTTACATTCTGTGGCATATATTTGGTTTTATTTGGGTTTGCTTTGGTTTTGGTGGTTTTTCTTTTGTTTTGTTTTTTTAAAGAACAGTTTAGGCAAAACAAGAATTCTAAATATGAGATATGCTCTAGATAGATCTGGTCTTTCAAGTCTTTGGTGCAAGCGGATTTCCATTTTCATTGTACCTATGATATCCTTAGATCCATATTGTATTGCTTCACACACTACTACAGAACCTTATGGGACAGAAATTAATGCATCAGAATTTGTCATGAAAATATATATATAAAGATTAAATTTATGATATTTTATAATATTTTAAAAGACTACTTGTAAGACTTTAACAGAGTACAGAAGTTGGATTTGGTCTTCAAATTACTATTTTACCTTCATACAATACCTTCTATTGAAAGATATTAAAACACATTACATATCACACAATTTTTGCATCTTATACAATTTCTCATTCATTACCCCCTCCAATTATTTTTCATCATTTGCAGAAACATCATCTGAAGACTAAACGATTTGCTCAAGACCTTTAAGATAAATATACAACACATTCTGTTGGCCAAAGCACTACTTTTCCCTCTGTTTCCTCCTACAGCTCCCAAGCACAAGCTTGGAGAGCTGAAGACTAAACGATTTGCTCAAGACCTTTAAGATAAATATACAACACATTGTGTTGGCCAAAGCACTACTTTTCCCCCTGTTTCCTCCTACAGCTCCCAAGCACAAGCCAAGTGTAGAGAGTTAATAAGGTGGAGTTTGCCACCATTCCTCACCAGGGCTCCGAGTGGTCTCTCAGGAAGTGAGTGGTGATGCTAACAGATTTATCTCATTTTCCATTCTGTTAAAAAAGAAATAAAGACACCACACCAAAACCTGAAGCAATTATCTAGAACATCAAGTGATGTATTTACTAATACGAAAGTTTTCTGGCATCTTCCAAAGGCTACATATGACAGCTGAATCTAGCAGTAAAACACACCGATTACTGCACGGGATTTTGGAAATCCACGTACCTATGAACACTTGAAGTTTACTGCACTGCGATGACCGATTTTGTTCCCCATTACAGTATGTCCGCAAACACTAGAGGGCAACAATGTCGCACCGAAAAACTCCGAGAGGGGGAATGGGGAAAAACCCCAAGCAGCTGAAGGGCTGAGGTAGGCACCGCACCATCTGAGGCGGGCAGATGCTAGGTGAGCCAGTAAAGAAAGACAACGCAAAACCCAAAGAAGCACCACACAACAAAACTGGAGACGGACCCTCACACGGCGGGAGGATCGGGACGCCCCCGTGCGCTGGGGGACGACCCCCGGCAGCGTTGCTGCACCCACCCGGCACCGGGCAGCCTCCAGATCCAGCTGCGCTCCCGAGCCAGGCCTGCCCGGCGGTGCCTGAGGCTCAGGAGCCTGCGCAGCGGCTCGGACATAACTTCGCGGAGGGGCGGCCGGGGAAGCCGACAGCGCACCGCCAACCAGCCCGCGGGGTCTGGACACTGTGCCCCGCAGGGCCCGGGGGCACAGCGTGGAGGAGCCACCCGCCCCAACCGTTACCTCCATACGCGCTCCGCCGACATGCCACCGCCGCGGGGCCCGCCTGAGGGTGAGCGCCTGCCTGCCTGCCCGCCGCAGCTCCCGCTCTCGTTCACCGGCGGCGGGCGCAGGGAGCTGTAGATGGTCCTCCAAGGGGAGGCGCCGACACCCAGCAGGCGTGGGGAGAGTGGTGCGGTGTGGAGCCGCACCGGCACCGCCCCCGCCACAGCCCTCCCGCGGCAGGGAAGGCCGGCCCCCGGGGATGCGAGTACCGCTAGCCTCGAGGAAAGGCGCCGCACCCGCACTCACCGGCGAGGAGCAGGCAGGGCTCCGCCGTGCCATTTCCCACCATTGGCCATCAGCGGCCCTGCCGCTCGTCGGTCGCCACCTCCCTTTCCTCCTCCCCCTTCTCCTCCTTTTCGGGCGACTCGGCCAGCCCGGGAAGTGGGGAGGCGGAACTGGGCGGGGGTTGACGCGACCCCTCTCGCGGGCCTCTCCTGCCTCTAAGGGCCGTGGTGGTCGCACCCACAGGCACCTGCGGTGACTCCTTCCAGGGACCAAGGACCGGGGCCCCTGCTTGAGGTAGCTTTCCCACCATCTCTTGCAAACCACAGGCTCCTTCTGCTGTGGCGTTTTTTACCGTCTGTTTTAAATAAAGTATGTTTTGGGGGATTTACCCCGAACCGTCGGTGCATGTTTAGGATATGACCAGTTTCTGAATCGTTTCAAATGTGGCAGCACAAAGTGGAAATTCTGCAAGGTCAACTGTATTTTCTTAAGACAATTTGGGGTTAAAATATCGACAGAATGCCAAGTAATGCGTTTGCAGCCTCACTGCTTTTCTTTATTGAATTTTGTAACCCTAATTTAAACAGAGTCCCTCTGAATTATTTTTCACTGATACTCTGCATCCTTTGCTCCAGAGATGGGGCTATTTTACTACTGCAGACTAGGGAGTTACGATTCTCTGCCTGAACCACATTATCTTCACAAATGAGAAGTAAAATTAATAAATTTTACAAGTGCTCTCTTGATCTAGCTAATTTACTTCACAATTCTTTATTCTCTCTTTTATTCTCATGACACACTCTGAAGGAACACCAGAATTTTAACATCTTCTAAACTATTGGTCTCAGGCCCCATGAGCTAGACTTCCTGTAGGACAGAGGACTTACTGACATGAGGGCGCACTCTGTGTGAGTCTGTTGATCCACAGAATAGAGTTCCTCTGAAATCCTGTTCTACACAAACGGATTCTCTCCCATATTAAACTTCTTAAGTGCATGTTATGTCCTGACAGAGTCTTGATTTTGAACCTCACTTCTAGGAAGGATTTTTCCTACAGTATGCTATCAGATATGGGTTAGAAGCCAGCCAAAAATGACTAAACTTCTTGAACATGAGTTCAAACTCACCAGTGGGCATGGCTTCCCTCCTATGAGTCTTTCTGAGTAGCTAGCGCTGGTTTGAAGTTACCACTGTCCAACATAGAAGAGTGTTACATATTGCTTGTCCTTGTAAGCACTTGGATGCTCACAGAGATGTGCTAGACATTGCACAGCTGAAGGCTTCAGCACTGCAAGTCAGCATCTGTAGCACTGAATGGTTCTGGCAGGAATTTTAAGAGCTTTGATCTTTCTTGGTGCTACTTTTCAGACTTGAGCTGTCATTGAAGCATGAACTGGTCAGGAGGTCTTAGCCATTCTATTAGCAATACATATTAAGATACTGCTGAGTGTGCTTCTGGCCAAGATTTCTGCCTGGCACCCAATATGTCACAAAACAAACTGTAGTAATGCGGTGTTACATTACCATTGAGTGGTACACATGGCATAATTGTGGCTGTTTCAATATCTGATGTCACATCTAATGTGTACCACCCCAGAACTGAATAGATAAATGAGTAATTAATTCGGACAAAAAATGAGGTGAGAGGGAAACTGGTGGGCTACTAGTTGTATGCAAAACAGAGGCATATTAAGACAACTGCCAGTCTGTACTCTGAGCTAAGGCGAACACCTGTACTGCTGCTGTTCTTATGCAAGGCAGGGACTGAACCCTAGTTCCCAGATGAATGTATCGATTTAAACATGTAGGATTCAAGACTTTTTGATGTATACCAACACACCAGATCACAGAATGGCTGAGATTGGAAGTCCCCTCAGGAAGTCATCTTGTCCATTCTCCCTGCTCAAGCAGGGTCACTCACAGCAGGCTGCCCAGGACCACATCCATTCTGTTTTTGAACATCTCCAAGGACAGAGACTCTACAACCTCTGGACAACTTCTGCCAGTATTTGGTCACTCTTACAATGTAAAAGTGTTTCCTGATTTTCAGTGGGACACTGCTATGTTTCAGTTTTTGTCCCCTGCCTCTGGTCCTGCACTGGGCACCAATGAAAGAGCCTGGCTCCATCCCCTCTGCACCCTCCCTGCAGGTATTTGTAGACATTTATGGGACCTCCCCAGAGCCTTCATTTTTCCAGGCTAAACAGTCCCAGCTCTCCCAGACATTCCTCATAGAAGAGATGTTCCAGTCCCTTAATTATCTTAGTGGTCCCTCACTGGACTCTTCCCCCACATCTCCGTATCTCTCTTGTGCTAGGAGGCCCGGAACTGGACCCTGTGCTCCAGGTGTGGCCTCCCCAGTGCTGAGCAGAGGACAAAGATCACTTTCCTTGACCTCCTGGCAGCACTCCTAATGCAGCCCAGGATGCTGTTAAACCTCCCAACAAAGGCACATTGTTGACTTGTGTTCAACTTGGTGACCACCAGGACCCCCAGGTCCTTTCCTGCAAAGCTGCTTTCCAGCTGGTCACTCCCAGCACATACTGGTGCCTAGGGCTGTTCCTCCCAAGGTGCAGGACTCTGCCCTTCCCCTTGTTGAACTGCACGAGGTTCCTGTTGGTCCATTTCTCCAGCCGGTCGAAGTCCCTCTGCAGACATACCACATGCATTCAAATTTGAATTCCCTCATTTCCCATTAATGGATGCCTTCAGTCTGCATGAACACAAGTCACTTCAGTGGGAATTAGCTAAACTTGGGAAAAATAACATGCTTTGTATGCGCAAGCCTTTACTCTTCTACTGAAACATGAAACTTAGGCACTGAAACGCCATTCAGTATCTGGCACTGAATACTTACTTGGAATATCTGTTTCTGATAAATTGGGGTATTTTTAGCTAATTACTTTGAAAATTGTACCTTAATGAATTCCTGTCTATTCAAATTACACTGTGTTCTGACAGCACTGTTGACAATTTATGCCTTTATACATACACAGTTATGTGTATGTAGCTTACACACAAGCTGGTAATTCTGATTACACTCTTTCTCTTGAAATGCTACAGTGAAAAAAGATGCGTATAAGAATTTCCAGCAACAGTTCCATCCCAGTTCAGCTTGGCTTATTAATCATCTCCTATCTGGAGAATCTTTAAACATGCTTTCTTGCAAAAAAAAAAAAAGACTTAAAAAATAGGTAGCCTAGCTTCTCTGGTGATACCTTAGCCTTTGCCTTTCTTACTGCTGGCCTCTACACATGAATGCTCTCTTTCTCATTTTCCTTCAAATTCAATTCTTCACACAATGCTTCCTCCTTCTGCATAATTAGTAATCTATCTTTCTTAAATTTCCTGAATCCTGTCTCCTCTTGTGGTCTTATGTCTTTCAGGCTACCATTGCAAGAAAAAGTTCTAATCATTGCATGATTCTAAGTCTACAAATAAACTCTTGGTCCTTCCAAGTCATGCTGAAATATGCGTAAAATTTAGGCATTTGTGTTACAGTACTTATTACTACAACTTACACCACAATTTGCATCTGTTAGACAGACTGATTACCATGGTCATCATGAGCATCCAGGCAATTGACTGTTATTAGTCATTTCATCATTACAGTTTTAAAGGTATTGCAAGTACTTTTAGCCAAAAGGCAAAGTTACTGTAGATTCATAAACTCTTTGTATTAATCAGAAATCTAATAAATACACAATATTAAAGCTTAATAAATTTACCTTTCAAATACTATGTAAATATTAATTAATGAGTCTTCAAAGGGTATTTTTGTCATGGGTATTGATATTAGTATTGCTGTTCACTTGATACAGAATATTACTCCATGAAACTGCCAAAGATCCTGGCAGTGACTCAGTGAAGGTTATGATCAGAAGTCAGAGGTTCTTGACTTGGGGCTGCGTTCATACTATGAGACCACATCATAATGTGTTTGAAAAAACATGCTCTGAAACCAGTGAATGCTGTTCCATGTTAAAATGTAAAAACCTGATTTCTCCCCTTCGTTAAGCTGGAAAAGGCTTTCTTTATAAGTTTTATATATATAATGAAGAGAAAAATGAAAATGTGGCCTAAGACTTAAGAAACATATGTGGTCAAAAAGGATCAACTAAGAGACTATCTGAGAGCAGAAAAAAACCTAACACCGTTCAGGTATATGATTGTACTACATTAACTGTACTACTTTGTGTTAACTGTACTAAATTGTTACTACATATAATTGTACTGCAATGAAAAACTCTTCATTTGTGAAGTGTTTCAAGATTATTCTGTAGCAAACAATATGGGAAATCAGCCACACTTACACATTTTCTCTAAAATGTCGCTAGCTTTCAGATGGAAAATGCATTTATTGTTTCTTTTCAGTAGTTTCTATTCAATTTTCAATCTTTCATCCTAAAAAATCCTACTATCTACATACATTGTAGTAGTATCTTTCAAACCAGTGCAAGTCAAGTTGCTAATTACATGCAGTGGGTGATGACTACTTGACAGCAGAAAGGCATTTTCATCTCCAGACTTAGAATAAACTATTATTATAAATATGTTTTGTTCCATTTTAATCAGGGTATTGAGGCAATTGTTATCTTTGCACAGCAATCAAATGGCCAGCTTTGGAATTCAAGAAGCTCAAAAACTCATTAGGTATTTCTGTTCTAAGCTGCAAACCCATCATTTGCTGCTCAAGTCACATGCCATGTGAAATGTAACACAAATTCATTAATGAGGAGGACTGAGTATTTTCTGTCACAATTGACCAGGAAATTTTCTTATGAAAAGAGATGAAAGACTCCTCCTTCCCATTATACCACGTTCATAGGTTTCAGGTTAATAAATATTAAAAAAAATAGCAGCACAGATTCAGAATATATTAGTTAGCTGGTTTGAATGTATGTAAATTTGTGTGAAAGCTCCTTACTAATCTTGAA